CCAAGGATTTCCCTAAATGAAACCCTCTTTCACTCCCTGGTACTTCCACAGCACAGTTTCAAACACCATTCACCTTCAGAGACACAACAAACCCATATATCACACAAAGACACAGGCGAACACAGACCCATGATCTAAAAACTCAGTGTGGCACCAAAGATGTGACTGTCATCAACAAGTAAGTAAATACCTCATGAAATGTAAACACCCACATTCCAACCGCCCATATTATCCTGTTCTGCTTTTTAACCCCCAAGCCCTTCTCACTAGAGAATGTAGTACCTATTTTGCACACTGAGTCAACCTATTATGTCTTGCCCACTATAATATTTGTGATGTGAGGCCTTCATTCCAATTTATTTCATAACTACCCATTTCTGAATGCCAAGTACAGTATCTGGCATCAATAGGCACTCCAGTATTTGTTGGATGAATGAACTGCGTTATTTAAATGAATTTAGAAACTATTAGTGTATACACCTAAAACAACATCTTGGGATAATCGGTTGTGTGCTCTTCTGTAAGTAATAATCAGCACAGAATTTTAGAAATTAAAAATAATCAATCCAAGAATTTTCTTCAGTTCCCTAATATCAACCACAAGGTAGGTTGAAAAAGGTGAAGGAACTTGCCCAAGGTTATTGTGTTAGTCAGCAGGAGCGCTCATTTAACAGTCAGGGCTTATGTAAAAAAGAGTGGATATATGTATATGTATAACTAATTCACTTTGCCGTACACCTGAAACTAACACAACATTGTAAATCAAGTCTACTCCAATAAAAATTAAAAAAAAAAAAATAGGGCTTTCGATTTCCAGCTCAGTACCATTTCCTTAGATCTGATGACCTTAGTAAAGTTCACCTTAATAATATTTTTCAGGCTGGGCTGAGACACCAATCCAAACTCCTTTAACTTTGTGGTACCCATGTCTGAATCCTCCCTGATTGTGTTCTATCCTTCTAGATTTGGGGACCAAAACTGCTTGTGGTTTCCTTGGCACTTAAGTTTTATATAAAGATAAAAAATGTTTTTAACTCAGTTTTTTAAGGCTCAAAAGTACTATACTGCTGTACTAACAACAGCACATGACATGACTAGGAAATGGAGCAGGACTCTATGGTCCTTGCCCCCCTTGTCCTCAGCCTGCCTTTGGTCTGTGGAAAAACTTTAGCCAAAGAATAAGTTTAATCAGAGAAGTGCCAAAATGGAGAAGCAAAGAAAAGCAGTCAACAGGACAAAACAGTAATAGTTTAGTCATAAAGCAAAGTCAAGGACCTTTAGTTCCTCCTCAAGGGCTATACATCATATTTTAAGCCACATCCCACGAGCTGTCTTATAGATACTGAAACCCTCACCAGGTGGAGGAAGTTAACTACATGATGACCAGACTGTAGCCACGACAGAAGTTGCCACAATTCCGAGAACTGGCCTCAAGGAAAAGGGAATAAACCAACCCTGGAACTGAAGAACAATCAAGATGATGCTGGTCAGGCCACCACATAATCAATTTCAAGATGACTGTCAGAGGTGGCTGTGCTGTTTCTGCACGCAGCCCCCTCCCTCTGTCTATACAAGCTCTTGCCCCCTGGTGGTCAGTGGGGGGAGTCGGACTTCAGACAGTAGTCCAGCACCCCCAATGCCCCACCCCTGCTGTTGCCGGCATCCAAAACAAAGCAAACTTTCCTGTCCACCAACCGTGCCTCTTTATTGGCTTTTGAGTGGCGAGCAGCTGGACACCACTTTTGGTTACAACCGTAGCTAATAAATGGTCAAATTTTAACAGAAGAATGTTGATAATTTTTTAGAAAAGAATTTCTTTTTACATGTTTACTGAGTATTTCTGAACTAAAACCAGGGACCAAGTTGGACTAACTACATTACCAAACCTACAGAAAATAAGTATATATAATAGGAAGACAACTAGTTTTTAAATTAGCTTAGGAATGACTAAATGACATTTAGGAATGACTTACCTTTATTTTACAAGCATGTGTGGAAGACTCCAATTTTAGATATTTTTTGTACAAAATAATCTTTTCATGTTCACTAAAAATAAAAAAGATTTAATTTATAAAAAATTTTACACATTATCACTTTTAACAGTTACATTTAAAAATAAAGGTTTCCAGGACAATATTTAAATCCTTGGATTCAGTTTTTCTGGTGAGGCATAAACAGCTGGGACTTCCTACTGAAGTGCACTGACTACAAAGAAAACATCTGCCACTTATCTAATTTAAAAAATTAGATATCAAATGTACACTTATATAGCACAGAGCACACTGTAAAGCTCAATAACATACCCGTTATGTCCAACATGCACGGTATATAAAACACTTCATATTTTGATTCGTATTAAGGAGAGATTAGGTCAGAATCTTTGTAAGAAATCAGAAAAAAAAATCAAGAAGTATAAAAATGGGTTAAGTATGCTGGTACGGCACAGTGTCGGGCTCACGCACTATGTGTAAAGAGTTTCCTACAGGAAAATGTTCAAAGTTCCAGACTGATAGACAACTTAATTTTTGGAAAACTGATCGCTGTGAGTTAAAGAAAACAGACAAGAAACACTTACCAGAACTTCATCTGATCATAGTCTTCCACTAACTAGCTATGATCTTTTACCAACTACTCTCTCTTCCACTAGCTCTCAATTTCCACGTTTATAAAAACAACTAGGCTGATCTAGACTGTCTTTAAGATCCCTAAAGGTCTAAACTTGTATGTTTTTATCTTCTCTCCCCTAGTATCTGGCACCAATGTCAGAGAATCGATAAACATCACAAAAGCTCAAGAAAATAAAACACTACTTAGAAGAACACTTCCACACGCACACGTCACAAACCTGTTATCCAGAACATTACAAACATTCTTGCCCCTACTGGTTCCACAGTACTCCTCTCCCGAGTATACTTCCATATTTCTGGCTGAACTTAAAATGCCAATAGAAACGATTTCTTCACCTCCAGGAGGGTCACATCTCAGGTAAAGGAAGCAGGGGTTTTCATCTTGGCTGTTCACGTTCCTTTTCAAAATCACCAGATGCTGGCTGAAAAGAAAATGAAGAATATTATACAGTCCTCTGAACACTGTCATTAACCCACTTAATGGGCCACAGGGGTTGACATGTTATCCTACTCATTTACATTTGCATTTGGAGACCAAGCGCCTTGCAAAACACTGACGAAATGCTCAATACAGAATTCCTAAGGAAATGATGCTTTAGACATGAGGGCTCTCCACTCTCTTTTCCCTTGACTTCTGTAATACATTCTAAGCGACTTCCTATAATTGCCTGTCCCGTTAATGAAATATATGTACTGGGCAGCTAATGTAAATTAAAAAACAGTTCAGACCAGACTGAGGGACTGTAAACGGAGAGCGACTTCCGCCTCGTCCGGCTGCAAACCCCAGAGCCGCAGCTTCTCGCCGGGGTGGGGAGAGACCAACTGCCGTAAACGCGCGTGCACACCCCGGCCGGTTTGGGCGGAGGGTTCAAAATCTGCGGCCGGGGAGAGCTGGTGTCCGGCGCATGCGCACTGACAACTTGGTCCAGCTGCTGGGCTGTGCGCAGGCGCGGTGCGGTGCGCGTGGGAACCCAGAGGTGGTTTGACGTTGGCCCCGGAGATGTCGTGTGGATGGTTGGACTTACTCTCCTACACGGTTAGGACAGTACGTCGTGAGGTAGGTGTGATGTCGTGGCTCTCGAGACCTGAAGGACCTCGTCCCGACCCTCGCTGTCTGTGTCGCGGGCGCCAAGCCTTTCCGCGGACTGCGGTGGGGTGCGGGGGGCTGGGGACGCGGCGGCCGGGCAATGGAGTCGCCTTTTCAGAAAGTCCTCAGCCCGCTCCGCACACGCGCTCTCTCCTCCGAGGGTGTCAGGTGGGTGCCGGTCGTTCGGCTTTAGCTGAGGAGGAGGTTGGGACGCTGTCGCCCTTGGTGTGGGGCCGGGGCGGGTGGCGTGTGAGGAAGGTCTGTGGCCCTGGCGCTTTCGCCCTGCCAGGTGGCCTGGGCCGTCCTCGTATCCCCCGGGCCGGGTGGAAGGTGAAGAAAGGCCGGGGCCCGAAGCGGGGTGGGGTCTGCTTTCCCGGCCCCGGGAAGAGCGAGCCGGACGGCGGCCTCGGGTCTGCGGTGGAGCAGGATGCGAGCTGGACCTGAAAGACCCTGAAGCTTTGGGTCCAGGGAGGTGGGAGCGGGTGGCTCTTTCCACATGCCCCTGGGATAGGAAGGCCTATGATGCCTTTCACCCCCTTTCAACCGCACCTTGTGAAGATGTGCAAAGTAGAGTAAAATACACTTGTAATGTCAGCATTCTGTAAATTTGGCCCCGTCACTTCTGTAGTTCTGGTGGTGTTCTGTGTAGGAAATAGACATCGAACTCTGCTACGGCAATTCCCTGGCTGTCCAGTGGTTAGAACTCGGTGCTTTCACTGCGGTGGCCTGGGTTCCATCCCGGGCCGGGGCACTAAGATCCCAGAAGCCGTGTGGCGTGGCCAAAAAAAGAAAAAAAAAAAGAAAGAAAGAAAAAGAAATCTTTCCTCACGTTAGTTTTGTCTTAGTACTTGCTACTATGGGTTTTCTGGGCAAAGTAATGTTTATTTTCTTTTTCTTAAGTTTTCATCTGAGTTGTCATGTTGGGATATTTACCTAATGAGAATACAGTGCTCTTTTGCCTTCTTTTTACGTACTTGTGGAGTGGTGCTAGAAAAATTATTAATGTATTTTTCTATAAGTAGTTTTCCAGAGTGTTTGTTAGATGGACTTAGGAAGATTGAAAGAGAAACCTACCACAGATTTGATAGGTACAAAATTTATAAAGTTAAAAGTCCTTAACTGTAAATTTTCTGGTTTTAATGATTGCAGAGATTAGTCCCCCAGACTTAACGGTAAGCAGTGTATTTGTCATGTATGTCCTGCCTCTTGTGGTCGTAAGGTAGCTTTGATCCATGTTAGACTTGTGCACAGTCCGAAGGAAAACTGGCTCTTCTTCAGAAATACCAATCTGCAATTTATGTGCAAGATCAATATTAACAACTGGATGTTGGCTTCCTTAAATAAAGCTGAAAGACCATAGGTCAGAAAACTAAAGACTTCTGTGGTCCCCCCTCTTTTATTCCCATATATCCAATAAATCACTGTCTTGATTTCCCTCCTCCTTTTTTTTCTTTTTAAGGAAAACTTCTTCTTTTTCTCCATCTCTGCCTTTTCTGTTTTCCAGCACTGACTTTCAACTGAAAAGTTCCAGGATTTTCTTTATTGGTCTTCTAGCCTTTTTTTTTTTTTGGCCGCACCACACGGCTTTCAGGACCTTCGTTCCCCGACCAGGGCTCGCACCCGGGCGCCGGCGGTGAAAGCGGGGAGTCCTAATCACAGGACTGCCAGGAAATTCCCGAGCCTTCATTTTAATTACCTCCATTTCATCCTCTGCATTGCCCTCTGATCCTTCTGGTGTTTGCTGCGCCAGACTGAGTCACATCTCTCATTAGAATGGCACACAAAGCCTTTGGTACTCCTACTCGTGCCTGCCTCCCATTCTCCCCCACCTCTGCACATACTTCTCCCTCTATCTGCAATGCTTTTCCTTTTGGATAGCAGGGCAGATTCTGTTCATATTAAAAAGCAAGTACAGACCTCCATTGTGCTACAGAATTAATCACTAATTCCTCTGAACTACACTTTGTAGGTACTATAATTCTCTTGTGGTTTGGGACTTTATGAAATAATTCTCACATTTGTGTTTCCTACCATGTGTATACTTATGGAAATTAGGAAGTATTTTACAGCTGGTAGAGGGTTTTTGTATGGAATTGATAGGGATAACAATAGAAGCCCTTCCTTGTTGGCCCAACACCCCTGCGTCATTTTTATGCCCATTGTTTCCACTGACTCTTTACTGGACTCTGGGACGTTGGGGTTTGGGGGAAGGATATGGTCCTAGACTGAACCAGGAGGATCCATTCCTAGTTGTAGCCAGGTGTTTGGCAGCATGCTTGGTGTTGCCATGGCAAAGCTAGCACCTGTGGTACAGGGGAATGTCATGCCCATGAAGAACTTGGGAGCTTGGAAGTGGACCTTTGTAACTTCCCTTGGTTCTTTACTGTTGGAGAATTCTTGGGCTGGCTGTATACAAGTTGAGGACTGGACGTCCTCGTGAGAGTAAGTAAGCAGGAGGCGTGACTATGGCATGCAGACCCTTCTGATTCCTAAGGGCTGCTTATCCTCAGCTATGTCCACAGATACTCTGTTTATCTCTGCTCTGCAAGTAGTCTCACTACTCTCTAGTCTCACTACCTTCTGTGTACTGTGTATACATTCCGTGTATATATTTCATGGGGGCCATCAACCCAAATTCGGAAAGATATTCCCATCTTTACTTTTGTTAACCTCCTACTGAAATTTAACAGTTTAATGATTAGTAAAACTAGCCACAGTAGAATTAGTAGACTTAGAAACACCTGTCGCCTTGTCACTAAAATAAATGACATTTTCACATCACAGTCTTCTTAGAGCTGTCTCAAAATTTTATCAAAACTTCAAACTTATAGTTATTAGCTACCACTATAAATTTTTATTTTTATAAGTCAGTTCATTAAGATATAGTCAACATAAAGAGTCACCAATTTTAGTGTATAATTATTTGCCTTTTGACAGATACATATAGTTATATAATGAACTCTACAATATGCCATGATTTGTGTGTGGTAGTTATTAGACCCGTCAGTATTCTGGGCATTGAATCTAATTGTAAAGAAGCACATATACTACTATATTATACATTTGGTTTTTAAAATATTTTGTGACGATTTCAATTTGCTTGATTTCATTTGTAATCCTATGTATTTTATGTTAAATACTTAAATGTATTATTCTGAAAGGGTCCATAGGATTCACCAGACTAAGTTTCTCCATGACACAGAAAGGTTAAGAGCTTCTATTACTGTCCATCTTCCCACCACTATCTTAGGGTATGGTAGAATATAGGCACCTTTTAAGCCTTTAAGGTCTAGTTGGTTAGTCACTGACGAGGTCAGAAAGTGGCAATATGGTGACAAGTTTGCAGTTTGTTCTCCTTGATTTATTTTGGCCTCATTGCATTTTATAAAACAGTTAGGGGAGGAAGGGATTGGATAGGAATTGAGAGAGGTCACATGGTATGATTTGCCTCAGTAGAAAACTTCCAGACAGAACCCCCTGATGAATGTAACAAATGGACTTAGGAAAAACTACACAAATCTAATTTTTAAAAATATATCTTTAGAGCATTGAAGAAAAATATTGAAAGCAATGACTTTGACACAAAAGGCATATAACAGAGTTTGGAAGAAGATAATCCTGAAAAATCTGATATCTCCTAACCCTTTAGTTGTTAGATACTTGTTATGTAGCCTTAGAGAATAATATCGTGGCAGTTCACCAAATACAGGTGAACTCCCTTGTGCCACCCCCTGCCACAATTCATTTGTGTGAAGGATGTACTGTCTATTGCCAGGCTCCATTACCTCCTGACATGCTTCTGGGACCAAAGTGAAGGAGTCTAACCTGGAAATGCTGGGAACAGATATCTTTATAATATCTTTATGGTTTACATTTAATTTCTTTTTAGAAAAATTTTTAGAATTTCAGTTATACGTGTATTCTTATTTCTTCATTTGCTTTAGAAGGTCATATTTACATTACCTCTGATGTATTTTTCAGTAAATATGCAATTATGGAAAAAATTTCTTTGACTCTTGTATCCTTTTCTGGTGACGTTTCTTTTACTTTTTTATTTTAAAAGTTTTTGTATTATCCACTTTGGGACTTGAGACAGCTGGTTTATTTATTTATTTTTTCATATGTATATGAAGCTGTTTCTTTATTTTTTAATTTTTTATTGGAGTATATTTGCTTTACAATGTTGTGTTAGTTTCTGCTGTACAGCAAAGTGAATCAGTTATACGTATACATATTGACATATCCCCTCTTTTTTAGATTTCCTTCCCATTTAGGTCACCACAGAGCACTGAGTAGAGTTCCCTGTGCTATACAGTAGGTTCTCATTATTTATCTATTTTATGCATAGTAGTGTATATATGAGACAGCTGGTTTAAAATCACAACAAAAGAACAGGTTGAATAGAAATTAAAGGAGGAGGTGTAGCAATTTGAGAAGATATATCTGGTGCTAGATAGGGGTTAGCAAACTTTGTAAAGGGCCAGATAATCTTTTAAGCTTTGTAGGCCACTTTCTATTGACGCTACTCAATTCTGCTGTTGTAGCATGAAAGCAAAAATAGACAACTTCTAAACAAATGAGTATCACTGTGTTCCAAAATCTTTATGGACACTGACATTTGAATTTCATGTAATTTCCATGTCATGAAATATTACTTTGAATTTTAGCTCAACCATTCTTAGCTCATGGACCATACTAAACAGTGGGCTTGTACTTACAAATGAAATTTGTACTAAAAAGAATTTTTACTATTCTGTACTGTTAACTTTGTACTATTACAATTTGTACAATTAAAGAGAAATTAAGAAAACAATCCCACTGTCATTGTGTCTTGGCATCCTTGCATCTTTCCACATAGGCCATGCAAGCAAAGGCTATTCTGAGTTTTGGCGGAATGCTTTGTATTCCTCCTAGATCAAGAGACGATGAGAGGCTTGTAAGGAATCGTTATAGGATCTTCTGTCACTTCCTTCTCTCCTCCGGGAGGTTGTCATTGAGACAGTTTCTCATTGTCTCTGGATTCTGATGAGGTCTGAGGCTTTCTGCCTTGCCCCCTCCCCACCCCTTTCCCCCCTCCAAAATAAAACTTCAGAATATAAATCCACTTAGCTACAGGCTAGAACTGACTCCTCCGCATCGAAATACTCCACAACTTGCACTGCAGGCATTCAGCCTCTCTTGCTTTGGTCTCATCCTGTTTGGAGTGTGGAACAGGGATTTGGCACATCTTTCACTGTCTCTGTACATAATAAACTGTCTGAATCTAGAAGTGGATTGTTTTATCTTTACCAGCAGAATCAGTCGGGTCTCACCCTGTCTTATGGGTGTGTGACAGTGCCCTGCTACTCACCTTCATCCAGGTCAGTCCTTTGACTCTTAAGAATTTGCATTTTGGGGGAAGAGCAGAGAAGGTTTAATCAACTCATTTATGATCTTAACAAACAGAACTGCAAAGCAAGAATGTCTTATCAATTCCACGAGTAATTAATTACTCAGTGCCTACTCTGTGCTGTGTATTGAGATACCCCAGTGAAGGGCTTTAGTTATAGTACTCTCTATAAACATTCTGTGAACGAGTGGGGTAAAGGGAACACTCCCTTTTTGGGAATTGCTGATAATAAACCAGTCATACAGCTGCGGTATTCTCACATACATCTGTGTATGGCTGGAATTGATATGTATCCCTGGAGGCCAGCAGGAAACTTATTCATCAGATGGTGTGAGAGACCAGAATTATAAGACTGCTGGCCCTCAGAGCTGCCAAGCCATTTGCCATGATGGAGGCGTTAAGAAGCCTTGTTGTCCCTTTGCCCCTTTTCATTTTACCATGTTTGGCAAATGAATCTGACTGAGGCTGAGGGAAAAAAAAAATTTAACCAGGGTTTCAAATGAAATCAGTTAAGTTATCCTTTCAAAAGGCCACAGTCAGAAATTTTAAAATTAAATTATCCACTGCTGGACATAATATGGAGAAACATTTGCTGTTATACACTCTTTAAGTGGAAGATTATGTTAGTATCACATTTCTTCAGAGCAGTTCGACACTATATAAATATGTGGAACTTGACCTGGTAATTCTAGTTCTAAGAATTTATCTTTATGAAATAATCAGATATATGCATAAACTTGTGTATCAAAGTGTTAATTATGGCATGCTCATTATTGTAAAATATTAAAGAGAACACACATTTGTAAACCCATACAACCCATACAAAGGATTACTCCAAAGTTAATTCTTTTTTTTTTTTGCGGTACGCGGGCCTCTCACCGTTGTGGCCTGTCCCGCTGCGGAGCACAGGCTCCGGACGCACAGGTTCAGCGGCCATGGCTCACGGGCCCAGCCGCTCCGCGGCATGTGGGATCTTCCCAGACCGGGGCACGAACCCGAGTCCCCTGCATCGGCAGGCGGACTCCCAACCACTGCGCCACCAGGGAAGCCCCAAAGTTAATTCTTTAATGGAGGCATATTTATAGGAAAGATACCCATGATTTTATATATATATATATATATATGTGAAGTTGTTAACAGCTCTTTTCCATAAGTAGATTGGATTATGGAATTTTTTTTTCTTTTAATTGTCTTTGCTTTCTTATTTTTCTGTAATAGACATGTATTGTTCTTATGATAAGAGTTGATTTTAAGTAAGTA